CACGCCGCTCCACCCGCAAAGAGCACCGAGCGATTAGACTGCGGGGAAACACACAACGCACAAAAAAGAGAACAAAAATACAAACGCGACAACACGCGCGCGGCTGCAACAGGACGACGCGAGTTCAAAGGGAGCGGTGCAGCCGTATATAAAACGGCCGGCGACACGGGGCGGCACAGCACTGCAGCCGACATGCGCAGCGCCGCCCTGTGTGTCGTCTTCCTCCACCTCGCCGCCGTCATGGTGAGAAGCAGCAGCGCAGCCACTTTACACTCGGAAAATAGTTTGTTTTTATAATTATTCAAACACGAAATTTCGACAGGAAATTTGAGGATAAGGAAACTTTGGCTTTGGTTCGAGGAGAATTTCCTGAAACCAATAAGGATTTTTCCCCTTCTGAAGTGAACGAAAATTACTTCGAGTTGAAGCAATAGTTTCGTTGTCCTCAAATTTCATCGAATCAAAGAAACCGTTTTCTGGGTGCAGAACAAGTGGGCGAAACTTTCCAGCGAAAATTTCACACCTGTTCCCGAGACCCAATATTGGTGTGCGAATTGTAATTCACACACTGGAGGTTCCAAGTGATACTTTTCTCTTTGACATTTGATCAAAATGATGCAAACAACTGGAAAAGAGTGGGATGGGCGGTACGTTTTAGTGTGGGGCAAATAAAACCTATGATGAGAAGGGATCCGAAAATTGGCAGGTGTTTCATTGTGAAAGCGCCCAACGTTGTTTCTCTTTGACAATCAAACCGTAAAACTGCATCAATGAATGAAACACGCGCGGTCCAGTTGGTCGGCGTATCGCGGTGCCGTTCCTGCGAAAGGGTGAACTATACAGTTGACCATCGCGTTTCTATGTGTGTGGTTTTCAGGCGCAGCAGGACTTGCTGGCCGTGCCTGGTCAGGTGCTTCGCGACGGGCTCGAGACGGGCGCCGCCTTCGGGCAGAGGACCGCCTCGAGGCTCGGCGCCGCCCGGCCCCCGGCGCTGCCCCAGCTGCCACAGCTGCCGCAGCTGCCCTCGCTGTCGCTGCCACCGCTGCCGCGCCTGCCTGACCTGCCGCAGCTGCCAGCGCTGCCGCCGCTAGCCAGCCTCCTGCCCGCCTACCGCGCCCACCTCAACACCTCGGTCAAGTCCAGGCCCTGATCACCGTCGCCGCTGCCCGCCGCTGCCCCCCGCCGCCCCCGCTCCACCCCCGCCACGCCTCCGGCTGCGGCTGGCAGGGGATGAATAATAGATATCTGGAGGCGGTGACGCCGCCCCCACCACCCGTTCACCCACCCCTCACCAAACCCCCTCCCCACACACAAGCCCCCTTTTGTTATTATTGTTCGGAATAAACTCTGGCCAACTTTTCCGGCCGTTCCTCTAGTTTGTGTTTCCTTTCTGATCAGACGCGGGGATTTGCAGGGATTATGCGTCGCACTAACGAGAGGCAGAGATTGCCGAGCCGCGACCCTGACATCTGCTCCGCGACCGCACACTCCACCGTTGCAATGTTTTTAATTCCATAATTCTAAATTGTTTTATTTAATTTTCTATTTTTTTTCCCCATTTGTTTTTGTTTGTGTTGTCGCAGCCACTATGCTGGATTTAGTCTCGTGATGCGAGCCGCCTGCTCTCTCTCTCTCTCTCTCTCTCTCTCTCTCTCTCTCTCTCTCTCTCTCTCTCTCTCTTTCCGCCTCTCACCTCAGACGTTTTTCAGCCAATCACATTAGCCCTCGTCTGCTCAAAACCTCTGAGGCGAGCTTCCCGTCAGCTGAGGCGCCTCACCGTAAAGGCGATTTGCACCATCAATCGTTGCTTCCCAGACCCACTTCTAACTTCTCTGAACCTCGTCTGTGCACTAAAAACCTTAGAGTGAGGTGTCGTTCTCGAAATGAGTGAGACAATTTTGCCTCGCTCTATCACAGAGCGATGACTATAAGGCTTCATCTCTATTTGAGTCATACGCACCGAATCCCTCACCCTGAAGTAGTAAGCTTTCCCTGACCTCGCCCAATTGCAGTGGGGCACCTCACTCTCATGAGGGCGAGAAACGCAATTTAATGACGCAAATTGAGTGAGAGTCAGACACGACAGTCCAACGAATGTGACACGATACACATTAAAACGAACGTGACGTCACCGAGGGGGCATTACCTTCATTTTGAGGTCTACACATGATTCCCGAAATTCTTGATTACCAGTGATTCCGTCCGCTTATATTCATTCCTTAGGCTTTTTAGTGGAAGAAAACGTATTTTTTCGACTAATCTGTACCAGTTCCTCTACTTCCCGCTTAGTTTAAGCGATTTCTGTTGATTTCAATTAATTTTTTATCCTGATGATTCCCAGGCAGGTGCAGACATGATTACCGGAGTTGTTGCCCCCTCGGACGCCACATTCCTTGAATAACACTGGTGTTGTTGTGTACGATGCCACATCTACACATAGCAGTAAGTTATCACGCAAAAACGAATCCAACATTTCAAGGCCCATGCGCTGCCATGGGCCGGTATAATACCGATACGCAGCACGTCGCCACAAACATATGTGGCCAAGGTGTATATTTGCGCAAATGTCGGGCGGGCAGAGGCGCCCCGCGCAAAACAAAAGCCAGCTGACGAAGGTGCACCGCGGCGCAGGTGCGAACCACAACAGCGTCCAAACGGGCCGGACTGCCTGATCAAACACTTCCACGGGCGAGCTGGACGAGCTGTGATGCCCCGTTGCCAGCGAGTGATACTCGTGCCGTGCGGGAAGCATCACACCATCCCTTTGGTTTCATGTGCGGACGTAACCAACCACCGACCCACCGAACCGTGAGCCACAGTAAACGAGCGTGCACAATGCAAACAAGGAAAACGCGCGATTGTGGGTGGGAACCCTGCTTACTACCCCACAATAGAAGACAGTATCGCCGATAACACAACACGACGCGCAACCTTGCACGGTGACGCAAAGGAGGGAGGGGGAAAAGAGAGACGACATATCAGCAGCCTTTAGACGCCTTCACGTTGAATATTTCAGAACTTTATATATTTAAGTGGTTATCACAAGTTTATAAATAGCTAACATTAAGGTAGGGAGGTCGAACAAAAAAAATCAACACAGTTGCTGCAATCATTTACTAAGTTATAAAAGGCTCACACAGGGGCGGGGGAGGAGGGCACGATCAAGGCTCAGTATTATTGACACGCTTACAGACGGGTTAGAACATGTGGTGTTGATAAAAAAAACGTTTCGCAGCTCTGAAACGACACTCAGCGTCTCAGCAGTCCTGTCTTTATCGAGTGGTCCCATTTTATTTCCCCAGGAGCAAGCCACCCCAGGACATGCCGGTCCCGTAGCCGGCATAACCCGCGGTTCCAGCGGGCCGGTTGGTCTCGATGCGCGTGGCTCCGGTAGCGGGGTCGTAAGACACCTTGGCCTCGTCCGTTGTCTCGATACGGATGGTGGGGCCCTTGGAGGTGGCCTCGGCCACCACGACGACGGGCGCGGCGGTGGTAGTGGCAACGGCGACGGGCACCGTCTGCACCACCGCGGGGGCGATGTTGTTGTGGATCTCGTTGTTGGTGTTCACGTTGATGGTAGGCAGCTGCGGCGGGTTGACGATCACCGTGGTGCCAGGGGCAGTGGTGGGCTCGGGCTCCGGTGCGGGCGCTTCAGTGGGCGCCTCGGTCGGCTCCTCGGGTTCCTCGGTGGGTTCCTCGGTGGGCTCCTCGGTGGGTTCCTCAGTAGGCTCCTCGGTGGGCTCCTCGGTGGGTTCCTCAGTAGGCTCCTCGGTGGGTTCCTCAGTAGGTTCCTCAGTGGGTTCCTCAGTGGGTTCCTCGGTGGGCTCCTCAGTGGGCTCCTCGGTGGGTTCTTCAGTGGGTTCCTCAGTAGGCTCCTCAGTGGGCTCCTCAGTGGGCTCTTCGGTGGGCTCCTCAGTAGGCTCCTCAGTGGGTTCCTCAGTGGGTTCCTCAGTGGGTTCCTCGGTGGGCTCCTCAGTGGGCTCCTCGGTGGGTTCTTCAGTGGGTTCCTCAGTAGGCTCCTCAGTGGGCTCCTCAGTGGGCTCTTCGGTGGGCTCCTCAGTAGGCTCCTCAGTGGGTTCCTCAGTGGGTTCCTCAGTGGGTTCCTCAGTGGGTTCCTCAGTGGGTTCCTCAGTGGGTTCCTCGGTGGGTTCCTCGGTGGGTTCCTCAGTGGGCGCCTCGGTGGTGGTGGGCACTGTGATGATGATCGTGATGGTGGTGCCCTCGGCCGGGGCGGCCGTGGTGGTCTCGGGCGCCTCCGTGTCCACGTCCACCACGACAGTGACGGCTTCGGGCTCCTCGGTGGCCTCCTGCTGCTGCTCGTTGGTGATGACCTCCACGACCACGCTGGCGGGCGCCTCCGTGGTGGTGGTGGTGGTCGTGGTGGTGGTCGGGTTGATGAGCACGCGGATCACGGTCCTGCCGGCAGTGGCGGGGATGCTGATGGTCGATTCCGGAATGCCAGTCGTGTCGATACCCGCCGAGCGCAGGATGTTGTGAAGGCTCATCTGGATGGTGTTGGTCTGGCGCTTGCCGCGCACCAGGACCGTCTCGACGCCATCGTCGGGCGTGGGGAAGGCCGCCAGGCCCTGCAGGCACAACCAACGCATTAACTTTCTTTGAAAAGGGGGAGGGGTGGGGGGAGTAAGTGAGAGTTACTTTCCACTGCATCTGATCCGATTGTATGAGATTACGAAAGTACATTTTCCCGAGTACGATACCTACATTATAGCCTAGCACAACCTCCCCAGAATGTCAACTAAACTCAACTTTCTAAAACCAATTAAAATATCATTCCTATTTTCAAATACAAACTGCATAGGCCTACTTAATTAACAAGATTTTAAAAAACCGCACGGTAACAACTCGTTGCCATAAAACGATACTTTTAACTGCAACAATCATTAATTTAAAAAAAAAAACACTTTGAATTGTAACAACTAAAAAGAAAACTCTTAATAACTGCACGGTGTTTTTAAAATCTCATAACAGTAAAACATGTTGTTTTTTTTTAAATTTTCTTCATACAATTACTTTGTGTGCATCGAGACTGTACCTGAATGAGGACGGCGCCTACGATCAGCAGCGCGATACGCTTGGCTTCCATCGAAAGTGACTTGGAGGGGTGTACCGGCGGCGGGCGGTGCGCGGCGCCTTATATACGCGCAGGTGGGCAAACAAGAAGCGCAGCGCAGCGAGGCGCAGCACCGCACGACACACTGCAAACTAGAGTTAGAAGCCCTGGAAACTTTTTGGTGAAATTGGAAGTTTTTCGTTATTTTCCGGAAATCTTCGGAAACTTTTCAGAAATTTTCCGATTTTTTTTTTGAAATTTCAAACCCTACTGCAAACAGCTCTGATTCAACTCCTGTGATATGATGCTGCAAAGTGTCCACGGAAGGATGGTGCTGCAAAGTATCCGCAGCAGGATGGTGCTGCAAAGTGTCCACAGCAAGGATGATGTTGCAGTTGTCCACTGCAGCACTGGTCGTCACACCGATGTCACATGCGCAGTTTGGTCGGCACCTTAGCAGCCCGCAACCACCTGCTCAGACGTCACTCTAGCGAGCGGTGACGTCGGCCCGACACAAGTAGTGATGACACGTTGACGTCATATAACCGTCACATTGGCGTCAACATCTCGGCAAGACATTACCACGAATTCGTGGGCCACCTTTTTCTTCTGCATAGAGTACGCCTCAGATTAAACAACAGCCCCTCTGTTATATTACCAAGCAACTGAACGCGACCAGAGTGTCGAGCTAGGCCAACCACGGCAGCTATGTCAGAAATAGAAGTCTACCCGTGTGACAGTGCGAGCGTACAAGACGCAAGCTGCCACTTTCGAAGGAAAACGAAACGAAGCCCTTTTCAGAAACCACATTTAAAACTACTTTGCTTGGCGGGTTAGCAGTTGGCGCCAGAGGGGCGGAGGGTCGACCGCCGCCGCCCGAGCGAGCTCCCGTCCCAAAACCCATGGACTCGTGGAGGGGGTGCAGCGAACATGCAGGGACGAGTTACATACCGACGCTGCTTAGCATTTTAATGGGAAATTGCGGCAGAGATAGAGAGATAGAAAATGAGGATGGACGAGGACGAGGGGTGGGAGTTTAGAGAAGGGGAGAGGGAGAGAGGAGGGGAGAGAGGGAGAGAGGAGGGGAGAGAGGGAGAGAGAGGAGGGGGGGGGAACTCACAGCAGACGGTGGTCTGGCAGAAGGCAGGGAAAAGACGGGTCTGTAGCGACGTCCCACTGTGTAAGTATGCGTGGAATAAATCGAATGAGGAAGTAAACAGCAGGGGAGCTCTTGCCTTCGATATCAGCAGATAAAATGATCAGGTAATTTGATTTTCTGCTTGGTTACTAACCCAAAATGATTTGTTCCACATAAAAGAAATATTTATTTTTAAAAATTGATAAAATTTTCATCGTCCTCGCCTTTTTTTTTCAAATGGAAAAAGTTGGCAATAAATATGACGTTTTGTAAAATTTGCATCCCTATAGCCAGGGAGCCCCTCACGCGCAGTCGGTCCACTAACATCGCAGCCTCCATTACCATACCGCCATCCGGACCGCGAAAGCGCAGTCGTGGCGTACCTGAAAAAAAAAAGAAAAAAATGGGCGAAAAAAAAGAAGGGTAGATAGATGTCAGTGCAATTAATCATGGAGGACGGAGCAGAGAGCACTCTGCCGTCGGAGCAGCGCGCTCTCCGCGGAATTAAAAGAGAGTCGTGTGTGACATTCAATCGCGGAAAGAAATGGCGCACGGCCGCGTTAGGCGCGTGCAGGAAAAAAAAAGCGAGCGAAAAAAAGGAGATTACATATTTAGTAACTCGTAAAGGTTGTTGTAAGGGTAAGCTAGGAGTTATTGACAACAAGGCGTATGAAAACAATCGGATGAGATGAGAGTGTAGTATATGAAAACTGCTCAAGAGCACAGGTGATATTCGGTCTTTATCTTTGATGCACTTTTTTTAACAGCACCTTCTTTAAAATCGTACAGCAGAGCGACGCGTGGCTCCGCGTCGCAGATTTATTACGCGAACAATTTGCATACGCGGTCCGTGAATTGACGGCCAGACCGTAAATCATCAAACACGCCCCCGTTCTATCCTTTACAAAAAACATAACAAACAAAAAAACATTGTCCTGTTTAACTGATTCCATGCCCGGACCACCTGGGCTGAAGTGAAGTGTCTAACAAAAGTGGTCGTTGATCATGTGCAAGCGCACAGCAGCAGCTCTCTAGTGGAGCACTTCCGAGAGTTCACGACTCCCGTGACTTCTAACACTGAATGTGTATCAGTGCGCCGGTCCTTGCTGGCTTCGGAGTCACCGCAGAGCATGTTTGGATCGGTACGGGTACGGAGTTAGTGATAGAACGCAAAATAGTTGTTATTTACCCTCGCCAAACGATAACACATAAAAGTATTTTCTTCTAGCACTTTATATTAAAGAATAATAGGAACATCGGTTTTGTTTTTCCAAGCCGTTTTTTTTCCTGAGTGCCAGACAGGGCCACTCTCAGAGCCAATCTCGTCTGAGGCTTCCGGAGCGTCGAGCACCTTATAATGTCCTCACTCTCATCTTGAAAACCAATTTTAATTTTCGGCCCTAATAGTTGACGACCGAGCCACCCCATCATGGAACATAAAGCACCACCCAGCAGCCACGTAAAGATGTTCTACTGCATGTGTAGGGTTGCTATATATCCCGGAAAAGGCAATAAAGGGCCGGAAAGACCATAAAAATGAGTGCCTAAAGCAGTTTTCATGCCGTTGTAAAGGCACAGGACCTCTGCTTTTACAGTGTTACTATCAACTACCCTCATTCAATATAACATAAACAACAATCACAAATAACTGTAAATAAAGTGTAAATCTTGACAAGTAGGGTAAAAAAATCCGGGTGGAATTATTAACTATTCCTTCAAGATGAAAATAGTGCTCCCCTCGGTAAGTAAGAAGTAAACCTTGACAAGTAGGGTAAAAAAAAAAATCATAACCCCCCCTTACCCGAGCCAGCCCGTTTTGTCATCCGGGTGCCGCAAGCCTCCCGCGCTGTAGCTCACTGCATGACAACGCTCCTCAGAGAGGTTTTTGCGGCCGTGAGTTATAGTGCGGAGTGTCGCGCTGGCACAGCCCCACTCAGTGTCAGAGAGAGAGAGAGGGAGAGAGAGGGAGAGAGAGGGAGAGAGAG